ATACAAATTTATTACTACATTTCAATAAATTTAGTTAGCAAGGTGTCTTCGCTCAAATCATAATCGGAAGAGATTAGATAAAAATGAAAATGAAATGACTAAAATGGTCACTTTTTAAAAATGYAGGAACAAAAAAACCAAATTTAAAAGTTCGTACTTGGGTGGCCGATGAACGTTCAGAACCTGCATAGAGATAGAAAAGGCTATGACACTCTCTCAAATCCATCTAAGTCATATCGATTACTAAGAGAGATAAYAGTTTCATGTACCTCTAAGAAAATAAACCAGATCCCTTTATTTATGAGTTTTGATCCGACGACATCGTTTGATTGGCACTTATGACCGTATCGTAGTGTATTGTCAGAAATACGGTTAATTGCAATGAAGCATGGTGCATTGCATCTACTCATCTTTTCRCAAAATTGACCTTCGAGATCTACTTATGAAGGTGCGTACAACCAATGGTGTATACATCGACCCGACCAAAGAAGGCGGTTGATGTGTTTATTCTTCTCTAAATATTCAGGCCTTCAAATTATGTCATTAGAGTGAGTTGCCTTTTTACCTATGATTCATTGACACGTGGTGCTCGACAAATCACCACCAACGGTATTTAAATAAAAATAATAATATATACATTTAAAGAGTAAAGGCTAAATTTTAATGGATACAAAACGAAATTAACGTTAGAATGAAGAAAAAGACAAACGATTGGCTGTCATTTTGGCGATGTGGATGGGCTTTAGCCGCTGATCCGACTCGACTTGGGAGAAATAAATGGCTCGATTTCCATTTTCCATGCAACCCAAAGGGAGTGGAGTGGAACTGAAGCCACTGTACGCACCGTTTTTGTCGCTAGTTGTGTTTTTGACCCAATCCAAAATATTCCCCTCTCTCCCCTCTTCAATTTAATTTCCTTATCTCAACAAAATTAAGATATCATTACTMTGTTACATGTGATTTTYTGAGAACGTGACATTAAAAATGYAGGGATGAAAATTAAAATTTTTTATTGATAACATGTACGTTACTATAGATTAGTCATTGAGCTATGTTCGTCAGTCCAAATATAGATTAGTAGATAAAATACATATTATTATTTTAAACGTTAATAGGTTCAATCCCATCTCCCAACTGTTTATGTTAGAACTATTTTTAGGTTAGTGTATAACAGATATGATTTAGAATGGGTATCAAAGATAGAAATTTGAATAAAAATTCAAATCTGTGTATTGAACGGAAAAAAAAAATATTAAAAAGGATGAGGGTAYTAAATATTTATCGAGATGTGGAAATTTTCATGTATCCATGARCTCAACGTCAATATGAGAGATAAATCAACATTTTCCATAGTATTGCAAAAAAATCGAAAAATGTGAAAAATATCACCAATATAGAAATAATATTGTCAAATGAACTTAGCTCAACAGTAATGGATACTTATCTCTTGCTAAGATRCTATAAGTTTGAATCCTCCACCCCACCCCACTTGTGTACTAAAAAAATACATAATWTTAATATTAATCACTTTTTACTTATTTGAAATATTGCAATGCTTAATTAATATTAATGTTTTTTTTACAATTGTTTTATATATAATTTTTGTAGAATATGTATTGACATTGATATTTTATCAATATTTTTATAGATATTTCTATAGATATTTTTTAAGTACAATATGTGGGGYGAASAGATTGAAATCACAATTTCATGGTAGGAGATATATGTYAATTATCACTRAYTTATGTTCATTTGCTTTGACATATGACATTTAAAACCAAGCAAATAAACGGTGGAAAAAAATTATATTTTTTAGAAATTGAAAACTTATCAACCATAGCTTTAATCAAATAATATATATATATATATATAATTGTAAAAATAAAAAGAAAAATAATGTCACGTCAATTAAATTTGTACYGAGAAAAGTGACATATTCCTTTGAAAAAAAGAAAAGTGACATGTTTCAAAAATGAATTGTTCACAAAAAGAAAATGAATGTACATATGAAAAGAAAATATTAAATGTTATTTTGATAATTGATTTTGATCTTTATAGTCTCTAAATTTTCATTACCTTTAAAATGATCATTTTAAAATTTATCTATAAAAATTTTAACACAAAATATAAAATTACGACTACATTCCAAAAAAAATATGTTAAAGTTACCATCGCATTGAAACTACAATAAAGATAGAAATACAAACCAGTTTCAAAAACTAAAATAAATAAAGTGGAAAGCACAATTAAAAAAAAGAAGAAGAAATATTAAGAAAGGAGGGTGGGGCCAGGGGGTGGCAACAGAACAGAAGCATGTGGGAAGCGAGCGTATCCGTTTGGAGCATTCCGTTTGCCGTGGTGTGGTCCGGCCCCCTACCACACGAATACGGCGTGTTTGGATGGTGGTGAAAAGTTGTCCCCATCCCAGACAAACAAAAACCTGTCAAACACAAGCTAGTCAAACAAGCCACAATAATATATATCATTTTGGGCCTTAACCGTATAACTTAACAATCATACTATTTGTACGACCCCTGCCCTTGTCATTTCCATGTTTCCTACYGACCCAATATTACAAAACATTTTGTATCCTCCAACGCCAAGTACACCTTCTTAATTAATACTATTTCCAAACATCTCCCCTCCTTAAAAAATTGCTACTTTTTTTTTTTGAGAGAAAAATGTCGAATCGAATCACCTATTATTCGCAATGCGATGATTGTTATTAGGGAGGTAAGAAGCCCAGCCAAATTCACCTACGTCTTGAGCGGTTTGGTCTTATAAAATTGACGTTGTGGATAAAATTACCCTACTAAGTTCACATGAAGTGAAGCTAAATAAGCGACATGGATCGAGCTGTCTAGGTCATGTCGCTGAAGGTCAGGCCACTCAACCTGGTCGGATTGAGTCCGAATCTAAATTTCTTTGTGTTTATAGGTGTTCATCGAAGTTTGAATCCAAATTATGCATCAACAATTGAGGTCATGACTAAGATTATGTTTTGCTCCTTATTGTTAGCTACAAAATTATAATTAGATAAAAATTGACACAATATGGTTCTTTATAACCTATCTTTAATTTATTTGGTTTAGAATTTAACCCAAGCCTCACGAGTGTCAGCCATTCTTGACGTGTCTTGTCTATGCGCTGTACTTGCAAGTGGAGACATCAATACGTTGTCCAATTGTCATATGTTCATCAACTGCTTAAGTTATTATTGAGCTAGCAAAACTAGCTACGGAATAAAGACATTATTATATGTGCATACGAAGATAGATGGAACATAGAGTTAGAGCCAAAGCATATTCCATAAAGGAGCAAGGAAGGGTGCTAGATGGAAAGTTTGATTTGCAATTCAATTGAATCTTAATTAATCGAATAATTTAGACTTTTGAAATACACTTTTCAAAAAATATATACAATAAGTTTTACACATTACAATTTTATTGAAATAGAAAATCTTTTGAGTGTACGATTGAAGGACATGGTTAATATCATATTGATTAAAAAAAGCAACATGATAATGAGGATGCTTTTCTTTGGGGTGACAAGCGTGGATATGTCTTTCCAAAGTGGAAAGCCCACATTAAAACCTTATAATAATATGTTTTATATATTAACAATACATGATTAATTTAAAAACTATATATTATAAAATTAAAAGTATTTGGCAAACTAAGATTACAAGTGTATGGTATTATGCTTTAACTTTTTGGATGTCTCCTTGCAAGCTAAGGTTGGAATTTGTAGACTAAGGGCTGGGCCTGTTTGTGATTTGAAGGCAATGGGAACTTTTTTTTTCTTTCTTTATTTTTTAATTTTGTAATCTTAATAATTATTTATAAAAATTACAAAAAGCAAAAACTTTAGGGCTTTATGCTTTGCTTGCATTTGGCAGGTTAAATATACCATGACTGTTACACATGCAAGTGGAAAAAGGTGAGAGTTCCAAAGTGATATAAAGAATGAACTTTTTGTTTTTGTATGAGCCACCTACCTCACTAGATATGCTCTATTCTATTCATACTTTATTTTAAAATAAATTAAATTATAGGTTTAATTCTTAAATTTGTAGGATGGTGTCTAATAAATTCATAAAATAACTTTTAATTTTATATTTAATAAATTTATTAACTATAAAAATATCTAATAGGTCACTCGACTTTCGATTTTGTGTCTGTATAGATCACCGACATATTTGTCTAATAGGATGATGACCTTTAAGTTATGTATTGAAATATGCGCATGAATTCAAAATTTATCAAATATGAGACAAAGATTTATTAGACACAAGATTGAAAATTTCTCGATTTTATTAGACATATTTTAAAGTCTATTTTGTTATTATATTCATGTTGACTACCACTAAAAATTTGACTTTCTTTTGAAAAGAAAAACATACAAGTTATCTCTCGTTTTTTGTATTTCTCTCTAGACTTAAAATTCAATGACAGTCGATAAAAAATTGGGGCTGATCGATCATCACTTAAATATTATTCATTTGATGAGTACACGACGAAAGTTTGTGGATAAAATTTATAATTTAACGTTTAGAAAATTTTTAAATGAATAAAATAATAGCCACACGATAACAAAATTTAGCATTTTTGTTTGGACCTCCAACAACTACATTACAGTCACTGTTCATATTCACGTAAATCATTCTCTTTCTCACTAAAAATGAAATTCTTCCTAAACAAACAAACATGTGAGAGTTGGATTGAGATAGGAATGATTTTGACATTTTATACAAGCATTAGTTGAATAAGAACATAGCAGCTCGTTAGAAAAAGAAAAACAAAAAACAAAAAGTAATTAATATGAGACAAGATTCTCACATTTTCAATATGTCCAAATCTAATTTTATCATGAGGTTAATTCAAACCTTAAATTGCACTAATCCAAAAACTAATTGCATTGACGCAAGAACGCTGTTTTTCAAGAAAAAAATATAGGTATATTCGATAATGACTGAGAAGTGAAGTTTAGATTAATTTAAGATCTGTTTGATAATCATTTTGTTCTCGAAAAGAAATACCACTTTTCTGTTTTTTGATTTTAAAAATGATTTTGAAATTCCAAGATGTTTATGTTTTTCAAACTCTCTATTTTTTTTTTCAAAAATAACTCTGAAGACTTTATTAATTTATGTATATTTAGTTTCAGGTTTTCATCTTTTAAAATTTGGATGGGTCGTGATACAGCAAAAACAACTATTTTCGATGTAGAATTGATCATTAAACCATTTGAAAAAGTATACTAATTATATAAATTATAGTTAATTTTCTCTTTTTTTTCCATTCTCTAAAATTTGTTATAATAATTGGGTTTTGCTTTAGAGCATGTGTATTAGTTAAATTAAATTAATTAATGTTGTGCTTTTAAGGAGGCAGGCCCAGCAGAGTACATGCAATTTTGGAATTTGGTGTAGCTTAGCTGGAGGAAGTTGCAACATAATGCTGTAGACTTCTTAAATGGAATTAATATATTATTTTTAGGGCTTAACAATAAAATATAAACAATAATTAATAGATAAAAATGACAAACGACAAAAACAATTAATATAAATAAAACCCAACCGTTGGAAATTCAAAAATTCCTCTTTTGTGATCTTTACGTTTTCCAACTTGTTGTATTAATAATTTGAATGGGAAAATTTAAATCTTATGATTTATTTTTTAATCAATTATGATTCTTGGGGAATTTAGGAGTTTTTCTTTTTAAATGGAAATTCCCATTAAATGGGGATTCTAGAGATATTTAATATTTAATTCAGATTTTTTTCAATAGATGGTTAACAACAATACACGATGAATAATTTCCTCTAGAAAATTTTGTGGAAAATCATGGACAAAAAGAATGAAATGGAGGAAAGAAAATGAGAACCTAAGCTCATCCTCATCCCCACCCCGCCCTGATAACAATTCTCCTAGTTACTTTGACTATTTAATGTGACGTATTTTTAGTTGCTCAAAATTTTTACTAAGATCCTTTGTCTATCGAAGGGTAGAAATAAACCAATGAATTCTTTTCAATTAATTTAAATATATTTAGTTTTTTTAAAATATAACATTATGTGGACTATGAATTGCTAACTTTATTATATTTCAATGATTAAGACATTGGACACATTATTTACGGGTTAAGGATTTATTCTAATTTAGTACTTGAATTTTTTTGAAAAACAACTATTATGATCTTTACTACACATTAATACACATATTTGAAAAAGATGTCATAATCTAAAAATTAATGCACAATAGAGAGATTTAAACCTATATAATAATTATTATTATTACAAATTGATTATTTACTAAATTATATGAACATAGCTTAGTGTTACAGCTCCGAATTCTGATAGTTGAAGATTCGAAATCTTACCCCTCGTATTTATTAAATTCAATAAGAAAATTAGAATTATCACCTGATACGAAAGCCCAACAAACATTTCTGTTAGAGTTCTGACGCAGCTGAAGGCCCAGTTGATAGGCCGGCCCACTTCACAGCTAGAAAACTAGCTAATGCCGCCGGTATTAAATGGCCCAAGTTGTTATTTATTTATTTTTAATGGCCGCCCAAGTAAACATTATTGTATATATACAGTGGCCTCGGATTCAGACTTTTATGTCACACGAGGCACAAATTAATAAAAAATATAAAATTAGTGAAAAAAATCCACATTTTTCTTTTGTCAAACCGAACATAGCTCAAGTGGTTAAAGCGCATATGTCTAACAAAAATGTCATAAGTTTAACTCCGCACCCGTAAATTGTATTAAAAAATATATATATACACATTTTTTTATACTTAAAAAAATAAAAAAGAATAGAGGGTAAAAATTGCTACGCTTATCTAAGTTTATGATTCAATTTAATCAAATAAAAAATTCAAAGAATAATATACATTAATCGCTTAATTACGCTGGTATTAACCACCTATGCAAATTTTATTAAAGAAAGTTAACCACTATGTTTATGCTAAACTTAGCATAGTATCTAAAAAAACTACAATACCAATCAATTACAAAATGTATTTTTTTCCATTTTGAGATATTAGTGAAATGTAAAAAAATTAACTATTGTTTTTCTTTCTTAAGAAAAGAAAAAAATAAATTTGGTTACAAACAACGACGTGGTACGCGTGCGAGACACACATGTTTCACGTGCTGGGGCCCACAGACGTGGAAATTAAAATCTGCTGCAGTTGCCCACACGGAATAATTTCGGTCCATCAAAATCACGTCTCTCGGTTCGATCCAATTTCAACAAGATAGCCAATCCGATGGACGAAAAATATAAAACGACAAAAATATATAAACCAATAAAATAATGCCACTTAATAAATCATGGGAGCAAATTTTAAATTCCATATTATCAACGATTCAGTCAAAATCTGAAAGCAAAAGACGTTGAACCCGCTTCGGTTCTGCGCCATAATTTTGCTATCTTGCTCCGCCGTCGGCAGCTCCCGATCCGGCCTCCGGCCTCCGGCCATCTCTCTCCCTACGCCGTCGCGGCATTAATCGATAAGCTAAAGCTTCTGCTCGTAACTGTAGAAAGTGACTGGAAAGCTTCCATTTCGAATCGAACGCAATCTTTCGGTTAATCTCTCGAACTGCGTTTTTTTTTCGAGCTTTTTAGGTATCTTTTTAGCTTTCGATTGGCGCTGTTTGTTTGTCTAGAAAAGTAACTTTTCCCGGGGTGGGAACACACATTTCTTCTTCATTACATAAGAATCTTTTTACTTCCACGAATATTTATTTAGTTTTTACCAGATTGGGTTGTCGGAATTTCGTTCCCTAAAATTCTTTTTGTATCCGGGAGAGGTTTGATTGGATTTTTTTTTAGTTCGCAACGGTGTAGTAGGATTGATTAATTTATGAGAATTTAGTGAGAGATTCTAGATTGAGTACTTCCAAATATGTCTGGGATGCGTCGGAGGAAGGCGGCGGAAAAAGATCCCAATATTCAGAAAGATGAAGATGACGGCAAGAAGGAGAGGGTCAGTGGAAAAGTAAAGGAAGTTAAGGCAAAGAAGAAGTGGTCGTGTGTCGATAGTTGTTGCTGGTTTGTGGGGTGTGTTTGTACGACATGGTGGTTCTTGTTGTTTCTGTACAATGCGATGCCCGCATCGTTGCCTCAGTACGTGACAGAGGCAATCACCGGACCAATGCCGGATCCACCGGGTGTCAAATTGAAGAAAGAGGGGCTGAAGGTGAAGCACCCAGTCGTGTTTGTGCCGGGGATTGTTACTGGTGGGCTTGAACTATGGGAAGGCCATGAATGCGCGGAGGGATTGTTCAGGAAGCGCCTGTGGGGTGGCACATTTGGCGAAGTGTATAAAAGGTATTCGATAATATGGTTTTACTTTTTCCATGTCTCTTCCTATAATTGTCAGAGTTGTACTTATAATACTAAGTTTTAGTAAATTTTCTTCATGATTCAAAGAGTGGTATATGTCAGCCAAATAGTATGAGGTTTTAAGATCATTGATGTCTAATGGATTTTCAATCTTCATTCTCTGTAGTTGTTGGTGTTGTGTGGTTGATTATTTAAGAATTCTTCTGGACTGTAATCATTGCAATGTACTGTTTGATGCTGTGCGCATCCAAAGAAACTTTTGGTTGATTTTATATAACTAAGCAAAGTAAATTTGGTATTCTTGTTTAAACTTTTCCCTTGCAGACCTTCATGCTGGGTAGAGCATATGTCATTGGATAATGAAACTGGATTAGATCCTCCAGGAATCAGGGTCAGGCCAGTCAGTGGGCTTGTTGCTGCAGATTATTTTGCTCCGGGTTATTTTGTGTGGGCAGTTCTGATTGCTAACTTGGCTCGTATTGGTTACGAGGAGAAAACAATGTATATGGCTGCATATGACTGGAGAATGTCATATCAAAACACCGAGGTAATCATTTGGTGAAATACAATTTTATAGTTGTTAAAACTATTATCATTTTTCAGATCACAAAGTAGTTAAAACTGTTTATAATTGTTTGCTAATTATTTAATTCTCAAATGATATAGGTTAGAGATCAAACCCTCAGCCGGATAAAGAGTAACATAGAATTGCTGGTCGCGACGAATAGCGGGCAGAAGGCAGTGATAATTCCGCATTCAATGGGTGTTTTATACTTCATGCATTTCATGAAGTGGGTTGAAGCACCAGCGCCAATGGGTGGTGGGGGAGGACCAGACTGGTGTGCTAAGCATATAAAAGCAGTTATAAATATTGGTGGACCATTTCTAGGTGTTCCCAAAGCTGTTGCTGGGCTTTTCTCTGCTGAAGCTAAGGATATTGCATTTGCCAGGTCTCTATCACTTTAATTCCATTGTAGTTGAATAACTTTGCTGTCCCTGTATGTCTGTGTTTTCAGGGCTAGGGAAGTAAATTCAGTATATGGAAAAATAGGCACTTGTAAATTGTCCATAAATTCACAAGTCTAAAAGTTGTCTAATGCGAAAGTTTTAATTAGAAAAACTCAAGTTGTTGATACACCTACTTTTATGTCACAAATCCTCTAGGCTGAGCAAGTTGTGTAGTGATTTTAGGTTACCTTAGTCTATGCCAATAGCAATAATGATCTACTCTTAGCTTATAGATTCCATCTAGTGTGCCTGTACGAATTTCAAGCCACCATCATTTCCAATGTTGTTAAACGCCTTTAATCTTTTGAATCACACACGGTAAATATTTTGAGTATTTGTTCTAGTAACAAGGCCACTCTGTAAACTAGAATGCTAACAGCTTTTAGTTTCTACGAGATAATCTCATTGCTAATAGTTTTCTTTCATTGTGAGTCTGCAAGTGTTGATTTTTTGGTTTTTGTTGACTTAAAGAGTTCATGACTCTTTCTTCCCATAATGCAGGGCTATTGCACCACTTTTCTTGGACAACGATCTATTTCGCATTCAAACGTTGCAGCATGTAATGAAGATGACTCGGACATGGGATTCGACCATGTCGATGATACCAAAAGGAGGGGATATTATATGGGGTGGTCTTGATTGGTCACCTGAAGATGGCCATGCTCCCAGCAAAAGAAAACAAAAAAACAATGATACAAGTAATGGAGGCCATAATGGTGATGGAGATACAGTTTCTCCTTCAAAGAAAGTTAACTATGGAAGGATTATATCGTTTGGGAGAGACATAGCAGAGGCAGATTCATCTGAGATTGAGAGGATTGAATTTTTGGTAACGCTCTTTTCAAATATATTAAATACTTGTAGTCACATTATATTTGTAGAAAAACGAACCAAAAATCAGTTGTCTTGATCATTTTATTAAAAAAAGTCTTATAATCGCATCTTACTATCGTGTAGGATGCTATCAAGGGCCATAATGTTGCAAATACTACCTGCCACGACGTTTGGACTGAATACCATGACATGGGAATAGAGGGTATCAGAGCAATCTCAGATTACAAAGTTTATACAGCTGGATCAGTTGTAGATTTACTTCATTATGTTGCCCCACAAACTATGGAACGTGGAAGTGCCCATTTCTCTTATGGAATTGCCGACAACCTGGATGATCCAAAATATAACCACTACAAATATTGGTCCAACCCTTTGGAGTCAAGGTGAGAACCTTATCCTCTAGATTTTACATTTTTATACACAGCATTCATTACCTTCTATTAAATACACTTATTCTCGAATTAAAAAAGGTGATGCGGGGACCAACAAAGGAAATTAGTTGGTTAAAAAATAGCGTAGGTAGGAAAAAATTATGAATGCAACTGCCCCTAGTATATCCTTAATAAATCTCGGTTATAGAGTCGAAATATATTTATAATTTCTCTCTTGCAAGAACTTCCTTTCATAGATTCCCTTCCCCAAATCATCGCCAACAATCAACTCTTATCCCTCTCTCAAACAAAGGGTGATTGGTTTATCAAGAATACATCAGAAAAGAACCCTTACAAAATATCAAAAGAATTTTCATTTTTTCTTAAATACTTGGATGCCTTCAGGAACATGGACATAGGTGTGCATGGCCTGATGCACTAGTCAGGCTGTCTTTTATGATTGAGACCAAAATAAATATTGTTTTTCATGCATCCAACAGCGTAAAACTATCAACCACATTGTTTCAATAATGCGTAGAACTATCAACCACATTGTTTCAATAATTTATCTGGGAGTGGACCTCTTTGAGTATTTCAGTTATGAGTGAGAGTATATAAATAGTGGGGTAGGAAAAGTTAAATGATTGTGTGAATGGCTTGTGGGAGACTTGAGCCACTCAAATTGCTTGAGATTTCCGTCTCGATTTGCTCTATTTGAGATTAGTAAACTCTGAATACCTTTGTTAATCTCAACACATTCTTGATACAATCTCGATATCGAACCGGTCTGCAGATTACCAAATGCTCCCGACATGGAGATCTTTTCTTTGTATGGAGTTGGAATACCGACTGAAAGAGCGTATGTTTACAAGCTATCTCCTGCTGCTGAGTGCTACATTCCGTTTCAGATAGATACTGCAGCTAATGAGGGGGATGAAGATGGCTGTCTGAAGGATGGAGTTTACACCGTCGACGGAGACGAAACCGTGCCTGTTCTAAGTGCTGGTTACATGTGTGCAAAAGGCTGGCGTGGGAAAACCAGATTTAATCCTTCAGGAATCCGAACTTACGTCAGGGAGTACAACCATTCTCCCCCATCAAACTTGCTAGAAGGACGGGGAACGCAGAGTGGTGCCCACGTCGATATAATGGGAAACTTTGCGCTGATCGAAGATATAATTCGAATAGCAGCCGGGGCTCAAGGGGAGGATTTGGGAGGTGATCAAGTCTATTCAGATATCTTTAAATGGTCAGAGAAGATCAAATTGCCTCTGTGATGATCTTAGTTGGTAGTTGATATACATGTTCTTCTGTTCTGATAGCAAATTCAGCTCACAAAAAGAAAAAAAAAAGCTTGAAACTGCATCCATTTCAACTCTTGGTAACTTTAAGGAGTATGGGAAAACCACTTGTTTAATTTGGTTGTCTTGTGTTTTCCATCACAAACTGGTTGAACTGGCTATTGGCTAAGCCCAAAACCAACTTCTCTATTGTTTTTGTTTTACATAAATTATGTAGACATTAGAATTATCATATCTTCATGTACATATATATAATTTCTAAGCTTAAGATTGTAACTTTGTGATTAAGTTTTTTTCCAGTTCAATGTGGAGATTTGAACCTATGAGTATGAGGAGTTAAGCTAGGTTCAAATTAACCTGTTTTTTTAAAGTTATTAATATAGTAATTATGAAAAGCTATTATGGTTTAAAGTGAAATATTTTTTTACTGTGTCATCTAGGTATGATTTTACTTTCCAAGTCACTTAAATATAAATCATTATTTGTTTTATCTGTCATCAGAAAAATTGGCATGATAAAGACTAACAAAAGTTACAAATCATTTAAATTTAATCATATATGCATAAAATAAATTCTGTCCCCTCTAAACACAAATATTGAGAGAAAAATATGACAAAAATTAAATTTCATTAAAATCTATAGAAGATGAATAAACTCAAGCTAATTAAGGCACTAATAACTTTTATTTAGGTTTGAATAATGATTAAATTTGGATTATAAAAAAAGAATTGGCGAAAAATAGAAGAAAAATTAAAAGAAGATAATCTAAAAAGTTGATATCGAATAAATACGCCATATAACTCCTCCCGAAGTTTAGAAAAACTATTAAGGAATTTCTTAAAAGAAAAAAAAAACTATTAAGGAATTAAAAATATAATAAAGTGGAATTAAATTAGAATATTATTATTTTGGTAAAAAGGCAATGGATCCTAAATACGGTTACGGAGGAAAGATACAGAGAGATCTCGTTATCCGACTTTACCCTTCAACAACTTCAAATTTCCCGTTCACGATCGGTACCATATATATATTCGTCTCTCTCCGCCAATTGCTCCGATTTTCGATTTTCGATTTTCGATTTTCGATTTTCGACTCTCTCTCTCTCTCTCTCTCTCTCTCTCTCTAGGTAATCTGCAGTTTTTTTACTCCATTCCGTCTCGAGAAGGTATTCAGCCACCGGGAGGAGCGAGGAGCGACGGCAATGGAGGGAGGTGGAGCAGTGCACAATCGCACAGTGGAAGATGTTTTCAGTGATTTTAGAGGCCGTAGAAATGGTGTCATCAAAGCCCTCACCGTAGGTATCTTTCTTCTCTTTCTTATCGACTCTTTCCAGGAGATGAAAAAAAGAAGAAGAAGAAGAAAAAAAAAAAACCAGGCGTGATGGAACTTTATTGTATGTTTGTGCTCTTTTCATGGCTTTAGTTCGTATTTTACGTCGCTCTCTTGCTTCTCCTTTCGTTTGGTGATGGATTCTTGTCCCCTTCGTTGTTTTCTTTAATTTTGGCATCCTTGTTCATGATGTTTTCTCACCCGTTTGGTTTTCGCGAGAAAAATAGGACACTGCATACAAGGAGCAATGAGGATAAAAGAAAATGTGTTCTCGAATACTTCTCTTGGCTTACATATATATGGACATGGAATTTTGAATCTCAGTTTAGCTTTTGACTAGTATAAGCGTTTTGAAAATATATTATGAATTTTGTTCCTGAATGTGGATCGATTTATTTGTCGAGAGTTGTGTACATGCATGGGCGTCTATATACGGTAAGAAGTAAGGTCGACGGAGTATTGGTATTGCAGCCGGAGTGCTCTCTTCCTTTTCCTGCATTTTTGCAGTAGTAGCAACTAATCTCTGCAACATGTCTGATATTTTGTGGTCATGCAAATTCCTATATAGTTTGTTTACGAATTTTATTTCTATTGATGAATTTTGTGTTTGGATGTAGTACTAGATGAATGTAGAATGCTAACTTGTCCTGTTCAGGACTTCAGGCTGTCGAGAGTTCTTTATTTGTTTTTATGTTGTTGGTTTTTGGTGTCTTGCTGATTTTCTAGTTCAAGAAAAGGTCGGGTTGGATGCTTTCTTTCTGTAACTTTGATTGGGAGCTAGGAGCGCTTGGTTTGGGAGTTGTTAATTTCTAATTCTTCTCAGTTTTGTCATTGCAGATGTTGAAGAATTCTTTCAACAATGCGATCCTGGTACATGCTTTCAGTAATCTCTACTTGCTTCTTCTTAACTTCTAGGCCACGAATTGGTTGTGTATAAGTGGAGTTGTCTCTCCTTGTTATCTGGAATATAAACTGTTGCCCGCGTCCCCATCCGTTTAATCTTATGTGCATGTAATTTGTCCTTTGCTTTTTAGTCTCTTGTTCTTTGGTTACTGTCACAGTTCCGGATTTTATATTCTTAGTCTTTTGTTTTGGCACTCCGTTCTTAGCTATTTATAATGGTTATTGGTGCTTACAGAGAAGGAAAATCTATGCTTGTATGGCTTTCCAAATGAACAATGGGAGGTTAATTTACCTGCTGAAGAAGTACCTCCAGAACTCCCAGAGCCGGCGTTGGGTATTAATTTTGCTAGAGATGGCATGCAAGAAAGGGATTGGTTGGCCTTGGTTGCTGTCCACAGTGATTCTTGGTTGCTCTCTGTTGCCTTCTACTTCGGTGCGAGATTTGGATTTGAAAAATCTGACAGGTATTTTCATTTCGAGTATAGCTCATATAGGATTTATTTCAACCATGAAGGTGGTCTTGCTATAAAGTATTTTGCCTTGTTTTTTGATGCAGGAGGCGGCTTTTTAATATGATAAATGAATTGCCAACTGTATTTGAAGTAGTCACAGGCATTGCAAAGAAACAAGTCAAGGAAAAGTCATCGAGTGCTAATGGTAGCAAGTCCAAGTCAAATTATAAAGCAGTAAGTGGATAGGTATTCAGTTTTTCAGTTGGTTTGCTGATTTTCTGTGGTACTCAATTGGAAATAATTGATTTTGACTTCGTATTTGCACCAAATAGTGTGGTAGCTCAAGTATTCCCCGCTCTAAATGTAGAAAAAGAATGGAGCTGGGACGACGATATTCTGTGGCTTATGTTTCTGTGCTTGTCCCGGTAGTTACAATAATTTATAGCTCTGGTGGACATTCTCCAAATTTTCAGTTGGTTAACCATGCCTTGATTTGTTGTACTATTTTGGCGAAAAGGAATTTACTTCAACTTCATGCCTGTACCTAGTGCTCAATTATTTCCTCTGCGCGTCTACTCGAACCAAAAAAATTGTTCAAGGATTAGATACCTCGTGGCAGTGTGATGTAATTTACAGCTATGATTAACGTCGATTATTTATTTCAATCTTTCTTCCAACTATTCTCAGCGGGAAGCAGATATTCAAGGAATGTATAGGCAGCAGCCACAGGCAAGGGAAGAGGTAGACGTCTTGTACGAAGAAGATGAGGACGAGCACGGTGAGACCTTGTGTGGGGCGTGTGGTGAGAACTATGCATCAGACGAATTTTGGATTTGCTGCGATATCTGTGAGAAGTGGTTCCATGGAAAGTGTGTGAGAATAACCCCTGCCAAAGCAGAGCACATTAAGCAGTACAAGTGCCCATCCTGCAGCAACAAGAGAGGCCGCCTCTAAACGGCTCAATGCAATTTTTGGGAAGTACCACTTCTACTTCTCTCTTTGATCATGGAATTACAGGGGAAGTGCTTTTGCTTTGCTTAGCATATTTCAGGTTTCCAGTTTTTAAGTTTCCATGTAAAGTCTAGATCGCTAGCCTTAGTCTTTCCTTATGGTCATGTCTTCTCATGATCCACAAGAATTAGCTTATAAACTTTGGAAGCTGTCAAGAATATGAACCATGTTAACCTTTTGATTTAGTAAAGAAATACTTAGTGATCTGGAATATACTGTACTTTTATTTGCCTTTTTAATTCCAAATATGCCGTGTAAATGTCGTGACGGGGATTCGAATCTTACTTTGGTGAGAAAATTATTAGTTCCATAAAAGATAGTGTCCCTAGGCTCAAACTACCTCAATAACCTTCATGGGTGGCTCGTTTTCAAAGGGACTAGGGTTAAATGAGAGGGAACAAGTTCAAACTCGATGGTGGTCATCTAGCTTAGGAATTAGTAATTTGTACGTGTTTTTCAATACCAAATGTTGTTCTAAGGTCAAGTGGTTGACTCAGGAGATGGTCAGGATTCTCTCATAATTAAAAAGAAAAAAAAAGCTACCCCACCCAGGGCATCCGAAAAACTACAACTTTATGGCCCCACTCTCTCATTATAACTAACTACAATTATCATTAAAGCCCCCATAGGGTAGGCCCACCCATAATTCATGAATGTGTTGCGTTGCAATTAATCCAGTTTGAAGATGGAATCTTCTAAATATCATTTATATCTCTGGACTTATAACAGCAATTAATTCATCAGTTCAGTTCGTAACATTCTTTTAATTTACATTCGAAACAAATTGAAATGTGAAGAGCATAATTTGAAACAAAGCTCAAACTTCATGTTAAAATATATGAAGAAGAAAAGGAGGCTACTAGGTTTACAGGAAGTAATTATTTCTGTACATTTTATATCTGAACATTGCGATGCCTTACATTATATCAACAAGGTAGATTGATAGAAAAGAAAAGAAGAAATCCTAAAAGAGAATAAGAAACAGTTTCAGAAAAGATATCATATTCTTCAGCATTTAGACTCCATGAAAACTCATCTTTCTGCTGTTTTAGCTTGTTAAACCCTCTTGATTCTTGGTTGATAGCCGTTTGAGAAACTCATATGTGGTGATCATTGTTGTTGCAGACATGGACATGGAAGCGCACCGAGGCCCCAAACCTCGGTAACACGCCGTCCACCCGCCTTCTCTTACCAAATTTCTCAAAGTCTGTCCAATGGTTGGCCCTCGTCTACCATTTTCGTCCCCGTCCAAAACTTGCAACCTCGTCTTGATTGTATCGAGAGGCATTGTAATCAAAGCCGAGATACTACCCGCCATGGCTGCGCTTGCACCCTGAACTGCGATCACTGTCTTTGAATCAGGTTTGTAAATGTTAGCCCCATTGTCATTGCCTTCATCAACTTTCTTAGCATAGTAGCACCCAATCCCACCCCAAACCAGGCGCTGCGCTACATAATACGAAGCCCACCACACCGCATTTGAGGGTGCGTAAGTCAAAATCGATATCCCGAAACCGCGGTAGAGGCCTCGGAGACCATCGGTGTTGAGTATTTTCCGAAACGCATCGATCCCATTGATGTAATGAGCGGAGGAGGCAGCATTCGGAGCAGTAGGATTATACCTGCCCTGAACCATTAATCTCTGGCTCACAACATCAACAGGAGTCCACACAAGCTGAGCAGCCATTGCAGCACTCAATCCAGCAGCTGCGTTAGCCATTGTAGCCGCAGTGGCCTCTGGAAATCCCACTCGAACAGTAGCAGTTCCCACATAACTCTTGGTAACCTCAAGAGCGCCCATATAGAGAGCTCTAGCAGGGATGGTCCCCATTAGAGAAGTCCCAAATCCTCTGTACAGAGCTCGAAAACCCTCGAGCCGGACGAGCGAGAATGCAGTTCTGAGGCACGAGAGCTGCGAATGAGCTACCTGCTGCCGAGTCTTCAACACCACCATAGGGTAAAGAGACGCCGAAACACCTGAAAACAGCGCAGCACCGAGAAAGAAGAATTTGGATTTGTCAAGCATTTGCCATTCGATTTCGGCCGGGATGTGAATCTCCTGCGGCGATTCTTCCTCCGCCGCGCCCAGATTCATCTTCGCCACCTTCTACGAGCCTTCACAGAATCAACAGAAAAACAAACCGAAACACTAACAATCCAGAATTCGAAGCTTTTTCTCTTCAGAATTCAAATCTCCGGCGCCACTTCTTTCGTCGACAACCGAATCTATGGAGAGAAAACATGTGAAAGGGAAGCTGTACAGTTGTTGTTTTCGGATTATAATACAGAATTCGAAGAGGAGAACGAGATGTTGGACAATGGATGGAATTCAATTGAGAGGTTTTTTCCTCTTGTGGAACCAGGTCTTGGTCGACGGCACGTGAACGGCGAGGTTCCGATCCACCATTTCCAGGTGAAGGGACAACATTCACCGGAGGAACTATGGAGAAATCCGGTACAAAATAGGGCTCCGATGGAGAAGGGAAACCGGGAGATGGCGGGGGGGAGAGGACTGAGTAAAGAGATAAAGAAGGGAGGGAGAGAATAGAGATGACTGACACGTGGAGGTTTTGGATTAGGAGATGTGGATCGCTTCGTTTTGTTTAGGGTTTCCTTCTTTCTTGGGGCGCGAGGCGGCGGCTCGTCCCAACCAATGGGCTGACGTGTCAACCCTATCCATGGAGGAGACCGTTTCCGAGTTTCTATCCTCTGCGGTGCTGGCCCTGGTAAGCCCACCAAGTGGTCAAATTCCCATTCTAACCTTCTGCTTTCCAGTCTAAAAAAATCATTTACCTTTTTTTTTTCGATTTCAGTATCACATGTGCAGAGATTTAGTTAAAATTTTGAATGTGGAGTTCGATGAAAATTTTGAGATCTCAATTTTACAAAAATATTGATAGAAATAGATATTTTCATAAAAGTTAGAGAAATTAAAAAATCGTAAAAAAATTTAAATCGACAAGTAAATATTTTTCTATTCTAAAAAATAATTAATATTAATATTATTTATTAGTGACATTTTGTTGATATTTTTTAATATTTTGTTGATTTTTTGTATTAGGATGAAAATGTTGATTTACCCTTTGTGTCAATGTTGAACTCATGGATACATGAACATATTGATGAAAATGTCGACATATCGACGAATATTTAATACCATGATTTCTCAAATCTCAAGAACTGTTCTAGAGATAAACTATGACATTTTCTTATTTATATTTGTAAAATTCTAATATAAATTTTACAGGCAACCAAAACCATTCAATAAAAAATTATGAAAATTGTTTAAGAAGTTTATTAATGGTAGCTGAAATTATGATTGTAAATAAGAAATAAAGGTAGTAGGGAATAAGATGGTAACTTTTTAGCAGAATATAGAACAAAATTTTAAAAAGCTAAAAGTGTAATATAATGAACAAAAATAAAAAGTAAAAAGATACAAAAATGAATAAAAACTTGGCAGAAAATAGGAACTAAGCCTATTTGAGTCGTATAATTCAAATATCAAAGTTGGAATTGGAATCTATATCTATAACCTTTAAAGGACATTTTTTTTTTTATGTTTTCAAATATTTTTTTCTCTGAATTACTTACAATTTTAAAATGGGGTTTGCTTCAATTTTTTTCAAAGCTAAAAGTACCCACTAAAGAAACCATTTAAAGAAATGAAAAAACTAAGCTTTCGAAAGTAAATCCAATATGTTCTACACATTTCAATGACTTATTTTTACGATTCGAATCTTTTTTCTTTTTAATTCACTTACACTTTAAAGTCAAATCTCTTTCTTCTTTGAAGAAAATCACAAAGAAAACTATTCACGTCAACAAATATGACAGTATGATGATTTACTTGTCAATAATATTATAAATGGAAACATATATTTTAGAGGCCACATGTAAATAAATTATATGCAAAATGTTAATGCTGGACACGTCCGAGTCAATGGCTTTGTTGATAATTTCTTCTGTTTTTGCCACCTTATATTTTGCATAAATCAATTGTCATCCAATTATCAGACAAGGAGAAAATTAGACGCTCGCATTAACAAATTTTAAATTTATGGTTAACATATTTTTCAAGAAAGAAAAAAAAAAAAAACTGATGATATAACCAAAAGAAAATAGCATAGATGTTGAAATTTAACTCCTAGTCCCTTCCAAAATCCCGCTCCATTTAATAATCGATTTCATTTCTAATTTTCTATTTTTTAAATTATGTTGGTGCCTCTCAATTTCTTTTAAAATTTTTCCACCTTGCTTTAGAACTCTTAGTTAACTTTTAAAAACTAAACGAGTGGTTAAAAACTACTCTTGAAAACGTTTTTAAGAAGTTGACAATAAGATAAAAGATTCATAGGTATAATTAGTGGCAATAAACGTAATTTTAAAAACAGAAAATCAAAAACAAAATAGTTATCAACTTCAACAAAAAACCGAACATATCTAGAATGTTATTCCATTGATGTTGTTTACTTGAACATATCTAGAATCGGAATCGGAAATCAATTCATGATGTTTACTTCCATATGGAATCGTAATCAGACATATGCTGCTTACCAAAATACCCTTATATATTTATAACTAATATAAAATTACATTAATTAAAAAAGATTTTATGAGATTTTTTATATTGAAAAAAATAATTACTTATAATAATTTTTATATCTACTTATATTATTTTACTTAATAGTAATAAATTATATATTTTGTATTTAAGTCTAAATTTTTTTTACACTTTATTTGATATTATTATTATTATTATTATTATTTATTATAATAAACTTTATTTTACCAATTCAATCTAAAATTAAATAATTTTATAATACAAACAGGTAAATGAGAAGAGGAAAAACAACAATGGAGCAGTTGAAAAAATAACTCTAAAAGAAATAAAAAAAATCGTGAGTCTACATGAGAGAGAAAAGAACATTGGTTGTCAAATTACCAAAAAATATAGCGTGGATCCCACAGATTAAGGAATTGGATTAGGATTACACAGCTATTTTGCATGTAATGGGATTGCATATTTTTTGGAGAGTAATTCCAAAATTTGGAGTGGGTCCCACGTTTTATTCCCATTCATTTATTTTAGTAAACATAGTCAAACGTAACGAAAATTTTGATTACGATTGTGAGCAAGTAAACGGGACCTAAGTGCAAAGTGAATGAAACTTGGTATCTTTATTGATAATAAATGTGATCTTAATTACATCTTTGTAACTGTAACATGGAATTTACATCCATCCTCATTTGTACCTCCAAGTTCCATAAATCAATTCCCAGAAATCTAGTCCCCAGAATTTTGCATTAGCTCAAACCACTGCAAACAGAAAGAAAGCATTCACTTCAATCATATGAAGGGGAAAAAAAAGGAAAAGAAACTGTGACATGAGAGCCAAGTTCTTGGCATCAGATTTTACCTGTCTCAGAAGATCTCCAAGGGTCCTCGGAAGTGCTTCGATGTTCCTTAGAATTATGTAGAATGGGAACGGAAAGGAATCCAAGTACTTCGAGAATTTAATATTTCCACCTTCAAAAGAAGCTTCCTGGAAACCATAGAGAGATTGTAGTTCAATCACACATGGAAAGGAGCAGAACCATGAATGGGAAATAAGAGGGAAAAAGGGAATACCATGAGGTCCATGATGGACTCCTGCGGACTATCAAGAAGCAAAAATGCAACCATACGTTTCCGACTTAGTAGATCCCTCACATACCGTTTTAAGTTCTCCTGCACAACCAAAAATGCTGGTTATAAAATAATACGAGTGCTGTTGACTTCTCTTTGGATAGAACACAATTCGATACACAGTTCCTGCCCCGAAAAATGAAAAAGCAAAACAAAAAACAAGAGGAAAAAAAACCTAAAACACAGCTACCGGAACATGTTTTCACCGGCTTTTGTAATAAAAAATATATATCTGTTCTGAAAAGAGTTCCCAAAACAAGTGCTGAGAGTTTGGCACAAGAGAAAGAATAATGAAATCCGAAAAGGTATCACCTTCTCATGGAATCGTCCATCTGCAATGATTAATACAAGCTGCTGCAGGGGATTGCATCCAGATGGGAGACGTGCTTTGGTGACTGCAACATCAAGCGTGTCATTGAGATATTTCAATAGGTCAACAACAGGTTCGTCAGTGATGCTGTTCTCTTGCTTGAATGTCAAATTGGAGATCATCTGCACCCATATTTATCAGACAAAAAAGGGTTTGAGCGTCTGGTATGTTATACTTGAGGCATAAGAGAAGCATAAAAAGTCTATCTAAGAAGCACTGACACTTTATTTTGAACAACGTGTCTGACAATTCGACACTTATCGAACACTTGTTAGATCGATAGATGTATGTCACAGACTGGTCGTACAAAGTGAATATGGATTCAACACTTGTTATACAAGTATTGGACACTTGTTAAGCATACTTAATAGACAAATAGTAAATTCTCAACAGAATACATCAAACTCATTTTTAAAGCATAAAAATTCATAAGCTTATTAATTTATGAGCTTCCTTCTTGTATAAGAATGATATATACTTAAGAAAAAATGGTATATTTTAATAAACATGCCCTTGCCGTATGTATCTTATATTTTTAGAAAATTACGTGTATCCGTATCTGTGTCTCGTGTCCGTACCATACTTAGGAATCTTATCATCCTTGACTTCCTAGTTTCTAGATAAGCATTGAAAAATATATACCTGGACACCAGCCTCCACTGTGAATGATTGGTCGAAATCATGCAGTAACCTTATGTTCCCCTTCTTCCCAAAGCTTGCAACCGCTAAGCTTCCCATTTCTAGTTGGGACATGGCACGACATACAGTCACTAAAGCTTCAATAGCAACATCTCCACAACAACTCTCAGACATGCTCCGAGAATCATCCACGGCAATAACAATTTGGTAATCACGTTTGTTAGGCCTTGTCCTTCTCATCCATATCTTATCCTTGCGATAATGGCTTGCTATATAGGGAATTACCTGAATGCATTCCAAGCAACAGACTTTTTGAGATTTGTTTGAAAGAAAAAAAAAGGAAATGACATGCTAAAGCAGGTTGAATAGAGGCTACCTTTTTCATATTGATCCTTTTGCCAGTTCTGTAATCCCCCTGGAGCTTGCTGGCTAGAGTTGGCTCCATGACAAGACGCAGTTGTTCAGCCAACTCCTGAGATAACCTTGTTGTGCGCAGTTCATATTTCCTCCAGAGAGCAGTTGCATTATCTTTCACCTCATTGGAGACCGCCTCAGTATTCTTTACTTTCCCCAACTCATCATCACTCACAGAGAGGTCTTCGAACCTACGCATTGGCTCATTCAGGTAAGTTCTATTTACAGACACCAGATTATCTGGTAAATGTGTGGAATCACCATCTTCAACGTTATGAAATTCTTGAAATTCCTCCTCAGTTTGATTCTCCAAACTGGAAACAGGCATGGGATCCTCCGCTGTACTTTTTTGAATGGAGTTACGACCCAAAGCATGTGTCTCAAGATTTTGTCTCTCAGACTCCATCGGCTTAGAGTTATCGGACTTCGTGGCAGCAGAACTATCTTTGTCAAAGTTATTACCATTGGCATCTTTATCAATCTGCTCAGATGTTGCCGGTCCCAATGCCTGTGCAGACCCCTTTTCCAACTCCGAAACAAATCCATACTCTTCAGCATCTTCATCTTCCATCTCGTCTTGTACATCTGCATTATTTGCCTGGAGATCAACAGAAACTCTAGCTCTTTCTTTCCACTTATTTAGTGCGTCACCAGCATTCCGATAAGGATTTGGCTGCATTTTCTGAAAAGATGACGCTTCATGCTGAGGCAGTTGAGCAGGCATAAGGTCATCGGTGAATCTCCCACCACTTGATGAGTCCGCTGCCAAGATATCAGTCTCAGATGCATCACCAGTAGGCATGTTTCGTGATGGGGCACCATCGTTTTGTCTGTCATTACTTCTAGACCAGCTTGTCTCCATGTCAATATCCCTAAAGTCTGATGACTGCAAGCCACCATTTGGTTGTGTCGCGGATTCTGCATTTTGCACATTATCACCTGCCTCTGACACATCATTACTTGGTCCCATTGCATTCATCTGATTATTTTCCTCCCGATCACCGCCCTCAATATCCATTTCAGAAGCTTCATGCTCAGTCTCAGCTTCAGTCATAGTTTCATCTATTGGATGTATTACATTCTCCTCCATATTTCCATCCTCGGTAGAATTTTCATGCTCTTCAAGATCATCTGGCATAGAAGATGCATCATCTTTTTCATCCATGCCCAGATCCAAACATTCATTTGACTCTTCACACTTTGTTCCCGGTGGCTCAGCAAATTCTTCCCCTTTATCAAAATTGATGTCCTCTGGATCCTCTCCATCAACAGGGTCACTATGACTTTCATCTTCATCATTTTGTTCTTGGTATTCATTAATATCTGTCTCACCATTCTCATCTGCAGAAGCAGAATGTTCGTCGTTGGCTCTAAGTTCCCTAGAGCTGACATCCTCATTCTTAACTGGAGGCCCCGATTCAGATTTTTCTTTCTCATCATTAGGACATTCATCTTCGTCCTTATTCCACATTTTCTCATCAATTACTTCACTTTTAGATCCTGTTTCTCCCATGGCAGAGTCCAATTGCTCATCTCCATCATCTTCATTGTCCTCCTCAGAGTCCTCACTAACACTATGTGTTTCTGCATCAAAATCTTGCTCCATCTCAATACCTTTATCATTTTTACTTGGGTTCTCGGTTCGAGCATCCAGCTCACTTGCCTGAATAAGTAATTTATTGTTAAAAAATCAATAAAAAAATTAAAAAAACATCAAACAGGAAGTTTGATTGTCCAGCAAAGTATCTTGTAAAATTATGCGTGGAGTACAGCATACCTTCTCATTAACACCAACCAACTGATCCTCATCGATTATCTGGTCACTCACATCATTTAATCCTGCACCCTCTCCCATACCAGTTCCATCTTGGACTTTTTTGTCAGTAACATCATCATCCGGGCCTGGGTCATCAGTAGAAATGCCAAATCCTTCAGAACACAAATTAGCTAAAACTGTTGCAAGGACATTGGTTGTTTCTGATACCTGGCATTGAAAATTTTGTTAGGACAGAAAAGGATAACCTCGGAGGATCTGCGATAAACAGTGCTATAAATTAAATGAAAATTCAAATGATTTACTTCATATTGTAAATCAATGTTTACAAAAGGACTATGGTACAAGCATGCATGATTTTCCGTGGAAGGGATGATAAAAGAGAGAAAAAAATGCCTAAAATGTGCCTATTTGAAATTATCTGAAAACTTTTAAACGAATATAATTGAGTTCTGACAACCTACCGAGCAATTGAAGGCAAGAACATCTTGTAGCAGACATTCACCAATATTCTTTATCAAGTCTAAAAGTACATGTAGTTGCTCAAAATAGGCGCCCACTTGAGATGACAATATTTGATCTTCAGAGGGAGAATTGCCTTTGAGTTTCGCACCAGAATGATTAAGCAGTTTATCCTGAACACAACTCGAAATGAGAAAGCATGCCACGTTTACAGAATGAAAATGCAGGAAAGAGTGAGAAGTATCAACTTACAGCACAAGAGATTGTCTTGAGAAGCTTATCAGATAAAGGGTCCAAGCTCAAATTTTCCATAAACAAGTTCATTGAAAATTCCCAGGAAGTAACATTCCCTAAATTTTCTGCTGGCAGAGTAGGCTCAGAGCAGGATGAATTAAATTTTTCCAATGCAGTGAAAACATGTCTGAAAGTACTCTCAAGAGCTTCATTAAATCTGCTGTTAATCTCAGAAAAATTTTCACCATTTCTAAACCCATCCTCTGCATCAAGACCAGATTTGAACTCTCTCTCAACAAGACTTGACTGCAAAATTTCAAATGACCATTTGAGAGAAGTTGAATTACTTGCAAGCAAGTAGAATCGGTCAACACAGAAAAGACAGGGATAGAAAGTAATTGAAGGGATACCTTCTCAAATACTTCATCAAAATGACCAAGCAGGATAGTTTCAACTGAGTTTCGGTTAGCAATATGCTTGGATAGAGCAGAGTGATAGTCCCTGAAGATATTTATAGCTTCAAAATTCTGAATGACAAGCTCTTTCATTTGTTCTGTAACAACAAATGGTTGCAAGACACCAGCAGCAGGGGTTGATATAACTTCCTTCCGGCTGAGAAGGCAATCATCAAGGCATTCCTGCAACATCAATTTGATAAACATAGAGCAACAATCACCGAATCCAAATAATACAAAATGAAGAATGTAATTCTGAACCTTTGACTTCTGGAACACAGGCAAAAATTTCTCCATTGCTTCAAGAATGCAATTTTCTTCAGATTTGACATCTCGGCAACTCTTCAGATGCACATTTTTAAAGGCTTTTAGCAAGATTAATTCTTCGTATGCCATAGTAGCCAAACTGTCAAAGATTTTCTGTACAAATCATGAAAGGCAGTCAAACTCTTTTCTCAAAATGATGAAATAATATTGATTTCAGAATAAGAAAATAAAACCGACCTTCTGCTGCCACATGCATTTAAAAATAATGTCCTGATTACAACTTATTCTGACTTCATAACCATTACGAGCACTGGAATCCTTAGAACGTGAGTACAACTTTTCCAATAGTGATACACAATTTTTCAAGTGAATCAAATTCTTGGCAAAGTGATCAGCAGCAGTGTGTTGCTTTTGCTGTATTACAATTAGTTGGTTCAGAAAAGAACATGACCGCTCAACCTGGAAAAGAGGAAACCGGGATCTAAATTATAATGTGCAAATTTAAGTTGTGGCTCCATAAAGCACGAAGAAAGTGCACACAACAAACATCCAACCACTGTGCAGGCATGTTATAGGAGGAAAGTGTTATAATAAAACAACGCAAAACCATTCTCTCTTTAGTACAGAAGCCAATGTGCCAAGGACAATCACTATCTCAGCAGACGTGCAATCGAGATTGTCACCTCACAGCAGAATTGATACAATATGAAGATTACAAGCTCGTTCAAAATAGAAATTACCTGCTCCCGTGTAACATCTTTGTGAGAGTTCAAGGAAATCTGCTGTAAGCGCAACACTGATTTTACACTCTTGAAGTAGTATCCAATGACTTCACTTCTCTTAGCAGCTAATCCTACATTCTGAAATTTTTTACCTTCACTGGAAGGAGTATCATCTAGTACTCCATGTGGCAGTCTACTTTGAGTCGGAAGCAAGTACTGAATGTCTTCTGAATGCCGAAGGAACCACCAAGATTTAAGATGCTCCTGAAAGGGCAAAGCCCACATTTATCATTAAAACCTAAACTGGTCCATAATTTAAGGAAATTTTGACATCTAATATTTTATACCTCCAAATAAAGAGACTTGTGCCTTGACAGACCACTGGCTTCCAAAAGCTTTAAAAGTTCAGACAAGGCCCTCCGCTTCCCTTGACTCTTTCTTGATTCCTTCCAAATATCACTGCAATAGATTGCACTTTGGTATATTTTCTCGATGGTGCAACTTAAAGACTTCCATTGTTCTTGATAGGAAATGGAAGAAGATTGAGATTCGGATTGCTGAATAATACTAATCAAATCTGAAAAGTTATAATACCTTATATTGTTAAGCATTAAATAGGAAACAGAACTCCGATAAAAAATATAAGTAATAAAAAATGACCTTCAGCACTCTTTACACTCGAGAATGGGTGCCCATGTCCAGGAGTTCCATTCAGGCACAAATTTTGCAGCACGCTCTGTACACTTTGTCTCCAGTCAGTAAACCAACTAAACCTAAAAACCATACGAGCCATGTTAGGATTCCAATACAAGGAGTTCATAAACACTTGAGTAAAAGGAACACCAGGAAGACAAAAAAGGTCAACCTGTCTTCTGGACCAGATTGAAGAGATTGTAGTTTGGTCCCTTTTATTCCTGGATCTTGGTTCAAGAAGAGCAACACTGGTTGTTGCAACACATCCTATAAGGAAAAAGGAAAAAATTGAAACAAAAGGAAAAATATTAAAAAAAATGTCGAGGTTTGTGATTCAACATGCAACCCGAAGGTCTCATTTACCCACCCTTCCAAATCCATATTCCAGAACAAAAAGCAATTTTTATCAAAATCAGTATCGAATCCATAAAGACTCAGATTATACTGATTCAAGCTCAACGAAGGTAGCAAAGAACCGGGAAACAAATAAAAGCTCGTTGAAGTGATTGTTTATCACTTACACTGTACTTCTTAATAAGCTTCCTGAGCTTCAGTCTACTTCTCCTTGATTTCTCCAAAGAACAATAACTCTCAACACGTTCCCAACGACATAATTTCTGGAGTTCCTTCAACTCCATCTCTATTTTCTTACGACAACCTTCTATGTGCTCCAATATTCTAAAGTGAAAAAAAAACATTTTCTATCACATTTCATGATCTAACAAAACAAGAAGCGTGCATCAATAGGAATTAAGAAATCAAGTTATGAAACTTACATTGGTAAAAATTGAACATAGTATCCAAATAAGTTGTACAAGGCCTCCAAAAGTTCCATCTCATAAGGACTGCATCATTTAAGACAATTCACCATTAGAAGGAACGTCACAATACCAATAGCTAATTGCAGTAACTAATCACCTTCAAACGAGAAGCAACTAAAATTTGTTCATACTAAAATCTTTATATGATGTATATTGATCGTACATAATCCATTTCGTCCATCTTCCTATTTATACCACGTCTCAGAAACAAGAATTGAGAAAAGATCTTTTTTTTTTACCTTGAAACTTCAACACATGCACCAATTCTAATTTGTCCAAGGAATGAAAAAAGAAGTTGAAGACGTTTCCTGAACTCCCCAACACTTGATGTATGAATGAAATCCTCCAAACTGCAATAAAACATGCTGTGATCTGATATAAAAGACCTCAAAGTATAAAAAACATTTAGGGTGCAGGGTTTAATAGGAAAATAACATGCCTTGTGATGGCCGAGTTAGAATTCGAATGCCGTAGGATAGAAAAAAGAGGAAACCATAACTGCAGGCAACATTGAGGCAGAAGTATTTTGTTAGTACTGAAAAATGTAAAACATAGGTTGTCAAGACGAGACA